TGACAGCTGAATGTGACTTTTAAAATGCCACACCTATAAAGGAATATGCCATTTGGTTGCTCCAGTGCCATCAGACAATATATTTGGTTGACTTAAAAAAAAAATGTCTATTTTAGTATCTATATACCTATATCTAGACTACATATCTAGAAAGAGTGAGAGATACTATTATTTTTTTGCTATAACTTTACAAAAATCCTAGTATTGTTTTACAGGTGATCATATTTTTATGTACTTTGTTCCCTGTGCCTCAGCATGAGAAGTCATTTGCACAGACATGGATAAATATGAGAGATTGAAGAAAATTGGTGAGGGATCCTTTGGGAAAGCCATCCTGGTCAAGTCAAGGACAGATGGCCGACAATATGTTATCAAGGAGATTGGCATCTCCAGGGTGAGTTAATTTCTTTCTATTAGACATCTTTTGATGAATTTAATAAGTATTTCAGTTATTACAAACCTAAATTATTTTAACAAGATGAGATGTGATATACTTGTTCATCAGATGTCAAACAAAGAAAGGCAAGAATCGCGTAAAGAGGTGGCAGTTCTGGCTAACATGAGCCATCCAAACATCGTCCAGTACAAGGAATCCTTTGAAGGTAAAGCCCACTCATACATTAAGATGTCCATATTCTCAAATGTGTATTAAGTGATATTGGAATATGATGCTTCATTGCCCAGCTCTGCCATTATGTCGACAGGCATGACAAACGGGAGTCTATGAGGTCTTTGGTCTTTAGTTGACCGATCTTGATTAATCTGAGAACATTAGTTCCGGCACAGACCAGACCCACTGCATTTCTGTTCTAAAGGCTTGTGTCTGGTTGATAGATCGGGCAGTCTGCATGATCTGGAGGAGCTCCAAGCACTTGAATTAAATTATAGAGAGGATGTCATTGCGCTAATGATAGTTTCTCTACATTAAGTCATGCAGCAGCAGTATCTCTGACATCCGGATGGCAGGCTAATTAATGACATAAAACTGGGGTGGTATATGAATGTTAATGATATTAGCAATGGAGGGGATTATGTCGGCTTAATTCCATTTTAAATATACAGCGAAACCTAAGAGTTTAAATCTGATTATATCACATGTACACTACATCTCTCTCTCTTTCGGCTTATTCCCTTTATCAGGGGTTGCCACAGCGGAGTGATCCGCACAACTGATTTGGCACATGTTTTACGCCAGATGCCCTTCCTGCCGCAACCCAGCACTGAGAGTACACTAACTCGTATAACCCCAGTGCTGGGACACATGTACACTACATGATACACTAATATCCAAAAGTTTGTAACTTTAATGTATTTGAAAGAAGTCTCTTATGCTCTACATTTATTTCATCAAAACATTGTAAAAACAGTAATATTGTAAAATATTATTATAAATAACTGATTTTTGTTTGAATATATTGTACATTTTTAAATTAATTTTAATATATTTTAAAAGTCATTACTCCAGTCTTCACTGTCATGACCCTCAAGAAATCATTCTAATATGCTGATT